GTTTTCGATGTCTTCATGGTTCAATTTAGGTAGATTGCATGTGTCCAGGAATCTATCCATTTCTGATAGGTTTCCCTGTTTGCTGGCATACAAGTCCTTGTACTAATTTCTGATGATTCTTTTTATTTCTGTGGTGTCTGTTGCTATGTTTCCTTTTTCATCTCTGATTTGATTGATTTGGGTTTTTTCTCTTCTTTTTTTAGTTAGTTGGGCCAATGGGGTGTCAATTTTGTTTATTTTTTCAAAAAACCAGCTCTTCGCTTGGCTGATTTTTCTTTTTGGATTCAATCCTGTTAATTTCTTCTCTGATTTTAATTATTTCTCTTCTCCTACTAGATTTGGGTTTGGTTTGCTGCAAATTTTCTAGGTCCTTGAGGTGAATTGAAAGCTCATCTATTTGGTGCCTTTCCAATTTCTTGATATAGGCCCCTATTGCTATAAACTTGCCTTCAATACTGCTTTTGCCATATCATATAAGTTTTGATATGTTGTGTTGTTATCCTCATTTACTTCCAGAAAGTTTCTGATTTCTCTTTTGATTTCTTGAATGACCCAGTGTTCATTCAGGAGCATGTTGTTCAGTCTCCATGTGTTTGCATACTTTCTGGGGTTTCCTGAGTTGCTAATTTCCAGCTTCACTCCACTGTGGTCTGAGAAGCTGCATGGTATAATTCTAATTCTTTTAAATTTGCTGAGACTTGCTTTATGACCTAGTATGTGATCAATCCTAGAGAAGGTTCCATGCACTGCTGAGAAGAATGTGAAGTCTTTAGATGTAGGATTGAAAGTTCTGTAGATATCTGTTAGATCCATTTGGGCAATATTGTTGATTAAATCTGCTGTTTTCTTGTTGATCTTCTGTCCGGATGATCTATCTATTTCTGAGAGTGGAGTATTGAAGTCCCCCAGTACTATTGTATTGGAATCTAAGTCTCCCTTTAAGTCCCTTAACATATCTTTTAAATAGACCGGTGCCCTGTAATTAGGTGCATATACATTTATAATAGTTACATCTTCCTGTTGAATTGAACCCTTAATCATTTATATAGTGCCCGTCTTTGCCTCTCTTAACAGTTTTTGTATTAAAGTTTATTTTGTCTGATATTAATATGGCTACACCTGCTTTTTTTTGGTTTTTGTTGGATGGAATATCTTTTTCCAACCTTTCACTTTCAGTCTGCATGCCTCTTTGTTAGAGGGATGTGTTTCTTGTAGGCAACAAATAGTTGGGTTGTGTTCTTTGAGCCAGTCAGCCAAACGGTGTCTTTTAACTGAAGAATTCAGACCATTAATGTTCAATGTGACTATTGATACATAGTGACTTTGCCCTGCCATTTTCCCGGAGATATTTTCTAGTATATGCTTTGAGCTTCCCATGCTCTTTTACTGGTAGGTGTTCTTCCTTTACCTTCTTTCACATTGATGGCCGTGTTTCTGTGTTTCTGAGTGTAGCACATCTTTAAGTATCTTTTGCAGGGCCGGATGAGTGGTCACAAAGTTTTTCAATTTCTGTTTGCTATGAAAGGTCTTTATTTCACCTTCATTCACAAATGAGTGCTTAGCAGGATATAATATTCTGGGCTGGCAATTTTTTTCTCTTAGCACCCGGGCTATGTCTCGCCATTCCCTCCTAGCCTGTAGTGTTTCTGATGAGAAGTCTGCTGTGAGTCTGATTGGAGATCCTCTGAGAGTAATCTGACGTTTCTCTCTTGCACATTTTAGGATCTTTTTTTTATGTTTCACTGTGGTGAGTTTAATTACAACGTGTCGTGGTGAGGATCTCTTCTGGTCATGTTTACTGGGGGTTCTATGAGCTTCCTGTACTAGGATGTCTCTGTCCTTCTCCAAACCTGGAAAGTTCTCTGCTAGTATCTCACTAAAAAGGCCTTCTAATCCTTTCTCTCTCTCCATGCCTTCAGGAACTCCTAGAACTCGAATGTTGTTTTTTTTTAATAGTATCCTGTAGATTCCCAACAATATTTTTTAGATTTCTAATTTCCTCTTCTTTTCTTTGGTCTGACTGTATCCTTTCCTGTTCTCTGTCTTCTAAGTCCGATATTCTCTCTTCTGCTTCACCCATTCTGTTTTTAAGGCTCTCTAATGTGTTTGTCATTTGATCTATTGAGCTCTTCATTTCATTTTGATTTCTCTTCACTATCACACTTTCCTGCTCTACTAGTTTCTGTGTTCCATTTTGATTCTTCCTTAAAATTTCATTTTCACGAGAGAGATTTTCAATCCTGTCCAATAAGGATTTCTGTAGTTCAAGGATTTTCTTTTGAAAACTTCTAAATGTTCTTATCATAAATTTTTTGAAAACTGTGTCTTACATTTCTTCTATTTCCTCATCTTCATAATCTTGGCTTGGGTTGTTTTGTTTATTTGGAGGCATCATAATGTCATCGTTGATCTTGTTCCCTTGATTTCTGTTTTTATTGCTTGGCATGGTTAATTCTGTTTCCCTCACTGTGAGTTTTTTTTTTTATTATTATTATACTATGTCCGTGTTCAGTGGACTGCCTGCTGTTGGAGGAGCCTTGGATGCTTGAGATGGGTGTGGCCTGAGAGCCCTGCTTGGTTCTTCAGGGTTACAGGTGTGCAAAGGTGACACCCTCAGGTTATGCATGGTAAATCTCTATTTATTTATTTATTCATTTATTTATTTTATTTTTTGTTCAGGAGGTAAGTAATACTGCAAGGTTGAGCAGAATGGATGGTATTTAGCTTCTGCTGGCTTCTACCCAAAGAGTCTGTGCAGGCTAGGTTTCTCTTCTGGACTCCCACTGGGTTGCCTAGGCTACTGAATTGTAGCCTTAACTCTCCCCTTTTATTATGTATATCCCAGCTCTTTGTCTCTTGCTGGCCTTTGCAAGGTTGGTGGAGAGTGGAACTTGTCTGTACCAGTATGCCCCCACCTTTTTATTTATTTATTTATTTATTTTTCCTTCTCTCCTGTAGTCAGTCTGTTGGACATTCCCACTTCAAAACCCGCGTCCCTCTAAAATTCTGTCTGCCGTTTCCCCCTCTGGTGCTACTTGTAACCCAACTTTTTCCAAATATAATAGCAGCAGCTTATATGCTTCCATAAGGTGACTTTCACTTTCAGCCGTTATTAACAGGTCATCCATGTAATGTAAAATTTGTACTTTTGGGCACTGTTGTTGAACCGGCTCCACTGCCTGATCAACATATAGCTGGCATATGGCAGGACTGTTAGTCATTCCTTGGGGAAGCACTTTCCATTTGTATCTTTTGTCGGGACTTTGATGATTAATGGAAGGTACGGTGAAAGCAAACCTCTGAGTGGCTTGTTCATGTAGAGGTATGCTAAAAAAGCAGTCCTTCAGATCGAGTACTATTAATGGCCAATGCTTTGGGATCGTAGTAGGAACCGGAAGTCCGGGTTGTAATGCCCCTATGGGTTGCATCTGCTGATTAACAGCCCGTAAATCATGCAACAACCGGTATTTCCCCGATTTTTTCTTTATCACAAATATTGGCGTATTCCATGGGGAGGTTGATGGTTGCAAATGGCCTGCCTCTAATTGTTGTAACACTATATCATTTACCACAGCCAGCTTTTCCTGGGTAAGGGGCCACTGTGGTATCCACTTTGGCTTGTTGTCCAGCCATGATAATGGCAGCGGCTGCATCTCAGTGGCCCCCACGAAAAACCTGTGTCCTGTCTTTTAAAGTCGCCTTTGGGCTGGGCTAGGTCCCTTCTGCCTTCTCCTCTGGAGCCTAATCCTCTCTCCTGATACCCCTTTTTATACATAATACGCCATCCTGGAGAACTCTCCAATTGGTCTTCATTGGTTAATGTCAGTCCCATTTGTTCCAAAATGTCTCTTCCCCATAATATGATGGGGAGTGCACTAACATAAGGTTGCACATTTCCCTTGTTCCCTTCTTGATCCTGCCAACGAAGCACCTGAGCACTCCTTGATGGTGTCATGGCTGCACCTAGGCCTACTAAAGTATTATCTCCTGGCTGAAGGGGCCATGACTTTGGCCAATCATTTTCAGAAATTATACTTACATCTGCGCCCGTATCTAGCAGGCCCTGAATTGACTTTCCTCTAATGGTTAAGGTCCATAGGGGTCGATCTGCTAAAGACATGGATAAGGCTGCAAATTTCTCCCCTTGGGGTCCACTAACATCCTGTGCTCCAGTCATAATCAGCATCTGAGCCACAGGTTCTTCTGGCTTAATTTGTACAATGCCCTTTGTGGATTGTAGCAGCACCTTTAACTTATCAAAGGGTAATTGGACAACTCCAGTAATGACCATTAGGCCTCTTAAAGCATTTGTTGCCTTTCCTATAATTATTCCAAGTCCCTTCTGCCCAGCCTAAATTGTTTCTGCCATCACCTCTATGGCTTGTGCTCCCATTTGAGGTGTTAGTACCGAATACCCGGTGGCTCGTAACTCTGAGCAGTAAATACTTGGTTTCTGTATTGTTGGGACCGTGGCACCCACCGATTGTTTTGGCCCTGGGGTGCAGGGGCACACATTCTGTTTTTTGGCTGTTGTCCATATACACCTGGTCTTTTTATGGGGCCCAGCTCATTTGGAACCCTCAGAGGATTGCCTGCCCTATGCATTTTAGAGTAACATTCACTGACCCAATGGTTCCCTCTTCTACAGCGTGGGCAAAGGCCTGGTCTTCTCGAGTTCTCCATGCCCTGCTGATCTCGGGCTGGAAATTTCGCCCTACATTCCCTCATTAAATGCCCTTCTCTACCACATTTAAAGCATTTTCGTCCCCTCATATCTTGTCTAAATTGTCGGGTCATTGCTACTGCAGCATGTGATCCAGAAGCCACATCATCCATGACATCCCTACAGATTTTCAAGAAGGTAGGGATGTCTTTATGCTGCCATGGTCTAAGAGCTTCACGACATGTTTTATGGGCCTGTTCATACACCAATCTTCTGACTAAGGGCATTGCTTCTTCCACAGTTTCAAAAATATTTCCCGCTGCTTCCATTAATCTGTTCACAAAATCAGCGTAAGGTTCAGTAGAGCCCTGCACTATCTTAGTCAAGCTGTGTCTTATCTCACCTTTTCTGGGCACCACCTTCAAGGCTCTTCTTGCTATCTCTCTTACTTGTAAGAGGACAGCTGTTGGTAGTCGGACCTGATCATCGGGATTGGCAAATCGCCCTTCTCCATTTAACATTTCCTCATCCCATGTTTGATTCCCTGCTCTATAGTTCTGCTTTGAATATTCTCGAGCAAATTCTCTATAAGCAGCTAACCATAGGAGGAAGTCACCCCCGCCTAACACCGCCTTTACTAAGTTCCTCCAATCCTCGGGTATTAGGCCTTGCTGTCCTATGTTATCAAGGATTGCCTGTGTAAAACTTGCATGGGGACCATACAGTTGTACTGATTGTTGCAATTCTTTAATTTGTGATCAAGAGGCGTCCAACCCCTATTTCCTTGCTGATCTTGAATTACAGGGAACACCTGGCCTGGTTCCTGGTATTGCTCCCAAGCAGGTTTTCTATAAACAGCTCCCCTTTGCTTGCTTTCGGTTCTTGGCCTTTCTATCTCTTCCTGCATTCCTACTCCCTCCATCACTCCTTCTTCCTCCTCCCACTCTTCTTCAATCTCATGTGGAAAAAAAGGGCTTTTCTTTACAGGAGGAAACTTTGGCAGTACTAATGGGTGATACCGGGGTGGTGATTCATCCTTTATGGTTAAATTTGCCAGCCTTGTAGGGCCAGGATATATTCTTGGCATTTCTCTCAGGGACGAGGTTCCCTCTTCAGCTTCCTCCTCCCCGCCGTAAGCTTCCTGGCTCTCTAAATCCTTCTTTGATTTTCTTCTCACCTGTTCGTTACAATAGCTGCTCGCCTGGCTGCCCTGCCGTAATTCTTCCTGCAACTCACTCCCCTCATTAAGCAATAATTCGATCCCTTCCGTGGGATCCTGAAGCGCCTGATCAACGAGTGGCCACAGCTTTAGCACTTCTATGGATTCCCCAGCTGCACGCAATTGCCATCCCACCTGTCTCCACTGCTGTAGAAACCAAGGGGACGTCTCTACGACTGCTCTTACGAATGCGTGAAATTTCCTCCCCCCTCGTTTCCCTCGCTTAGAAGAAAAGTTGCAAGGAGGTGGGGAGTAGGGAGAGAGAGAGGAACCACATTCAGCCCATAACGGATGATCTTTAGGGAGAAATAGAGGATGGTGCCCAGCATGAGGAAGAAGACGTAGCCAGTGGGCAAGGAGTAGCCAAAGAACTCCATTGTCTGTACCGTCCGCGACATGTTGGAGCGGCGGGCGTAGTGGAAGACTGAGTCTCCCGGGCATCCCCAGTAAATGCCTCTTTCCTAGCTTCTATTTTTCTACCCCCGCGGCTTTTTGCCTGGGTTCTTACTAGCTTCTCACCGGCACTTTTCGTCCGGCTTTTTTCCTACGCTCTCCCTATTCTCTCTCTCTGGTATTTTCCAGCTTCTTCCCCCCGTCCAGATCCGAGTCACGGCACCGGACCGGACACTTGTTGTTCCCAATTTTTTTTACAAGTCTTTTCTATAGTAAAGTAAGAATAAGCAAACAGTGAACTCCCAAAGCAAGAATAAGTAGAGAGAAATGAGAAAGAACGAAGCAACGAACTTCCCCGTGAACTCTCCAACGCACTCTCCAACCAACCCACACCACTGTGCCGTCTCTCTTCTCCTTTATAGTCCTCTCCACCAATCCGTGCTCTGCTTGTCCACGTGTCGAGCATGCCATTCTCTTCTATTGAGAGGATGAATCGGCTCCTGCGGCTTCTAGTAGTAAGATGAATCAGCTGTGTAAAAGCTGGTTACTCCTCATCAGTGCCATATTATGGGAGGAGGGCTTCGCCTTCTGCAGGAGACGGATTCTGCCTCCCACAGCTGTGAATACATCTTTTTAAAAAAATCTTGAAAAAAATTAGCATTTAGCTAAAAAAAACCTGCTAGCAGGATGGGACAAAACAGTGACTTCCTTAATCTGATTAAGATTGAAAGGGACTGACAACAAACAAGTACTGAAGGGTCACTGCATGCTTTTCCTTGGGAATAAATCTAGACAAGGATGCTTCCACTATCTCCAACTTCCTACTGCAGAAGTCAGGAAAATAAAACAGCAAAAAGAAAGTTTAAGGTGTAGAGATCAACATCTAAGCAATAAAACTTTCAATAAATGTAATTACTAATAAATTGAGATAATCCATAGTCTAAAACAGATACAACTCATAAATGAATTTAACAAGATTATTGATTACAAAATTAACACATAAAATAAACTGCAAATAGAAAATAATATTAAAAGACAATAAGACAAGGAAACACATATGTACAAGAGAAATGGGACAAAATATTGATGTTTGTCAATATTAAAAAAAAAAAAAAGAGAGAGAGAGACCCAACCGAAAAAGTGAGTCAAAAATCTAAAGAAAAAGAAAAGCCCAGAAGCCAATAAATCTCCATTAAATTGTAACTCACCTACAGCAGGTCCTGGCAGGCTCCAGGCAGCATCCTTGCAGGAACCCAGATAAAGAAGATCTGGAGAGATCCCAGCAGGTAGCATGATCATCATGCACCTGATAGGGCCTCCAGCTCCGTGAAGCATAGTGCCCTGGAGGTCTGAACTCAGACCTTGCTCCTCCCTCTTCCCCGCTTGCCTGACCTCAAGAGAGGCCTCCATGCTAGGCTGGATCTGATTGGCTGCGTCTTTGTGACGTTGCACATGCTCACTTCCGGACATTCTGTCCAATCAGGCACCGTGGCAACAATACATTATCTAGTGGGATCTTGACGTCATAGTCGTATCTGAGTTATGTGGAGAGCGACCGGGAGACTGCACCTCTACGGGGAGACTCAAGGTGTATTCACCACCACAGCTGTCTGACCTGGCACCACAGGACCCGGACACCTTGCAGCCGTGACATGGTTAGTGTGTGGGACCGGGCAAACAGGAGCGGGAAGGCGCAGCTGGTGGAACCTGTGGGCAAAGACTGTGGCGGGATGCCGGGCTTCGCGAGGCCATCTCCGGAATCCGTGAGCGCCATCTCACCTCTGGTACAGCACTTTCCTAAGTCCTCTGTGGCCTTCAATGTGGGGACTGGCCTCCAGGCGTCCTGTCCCTTCCCTGCACACAGGCGACTTCTGCTCAGCCTTGTAGCCATCCGTCGGGTGCTGCTTGCTTTCAGCCCCACAGCTCCCCCGTGTGTGATGAGTTTGGGAGGATGACCAGGGAGAATCCAGGCTGTGTTATGGAGTTTTTGTGGGGGAGAAACCATCGTTTTGGGACCCTTGGCCCTTTTTTTCCCCAGCAATGACTTGATTGCCCCGTTTTCTAAAGGAAACAGGGTTTCAGTTCCAGGCCACTGTGTTTTCTTCCTAGGTGTCTGTTTTCGGTTGCTATTAATGCAAAGCCACAGACTGGGTCACTTGAAAACAAAGCCGTTTTATTTGGCTGGGGGTTTTGTCCAGGCTTGAGGGGACTGCACCTAGTGATGACTTTCGTGCTGGCAGAGATGCAGTCCGCCCCTTATGGGGATGCCGTTAACTAAGCCTTAGCTCCTGCAGGTCAGCTGTGACTTGCTGGTGCCATCCCAGGGTCATCCCTTAGTCATCATCTTATTACCTGCTCTCAGATACAGCCCCTTGGTTCAAGTTATCACTGATGTTCCTGCTTGCTCTTCCCTTTGCATTGTTCTAATCCAGAAGGTGAATGACCCCCTGCCATGACGTGTTGTTTATCCTCTCCTTTCCTAGACACCCTTGCCACTGTGCAGTGTTTCAGGGTGCTCCTGGGTTTTCTCCCATCTTTAGTTAGAACTCATTCTGCAGCTCATGATGTTCTCTTCTTGGCTACCATGTTTCTCAGATTTGGCTCCTTAATTCCATAGTATTCACTGCTATACAACAGAACAACACAAGGAAAAAGGAAAATAATAAGCTTTTTGCTCTCTCATATTTTAATAAAAATATCTCCAGAAATCTCACAGAGTGGCTGGTCCCTTCAGATCTCCAATAACCACATCCAGGCTGATTCTTTTGTTTGTGACTTTCATGTCTCCCTCAATTCAGTCGCTTTTTTCCCATCTTTGCTCCTGTGATTAACATAAAACTTATTATTCACAAGAACCCTAAGCTGTAAATGAACCCAAGGCTTGGCAGGTAGGACATTAAGCTGTGTGAACTGAACTTTCTGGGGAAGGATTCAAAAGTTTCAAGTAATTTACATCAAATATCTTTAGATGTTTCTTCACTGTTTATCAGTCTTGTGGGACAACTTGCAGAGGTAGATGAAGAATTATACGCAGTTGCATTTATTTCAGCAGTAATAGAATGTTGTTTTTAAATTATGTGTACTTCAAGATTTACACCTGGGAAACAGCTGATTTTAAGTTCAACGTGGCAGTTATTTGGCAACTTAATATTACATTGCTATGGCAAGACAACAAACAGGGGGGATAATGAATTCCTCCATGAAATGTTATATCAGTAGGTTAAAGACATCTAACAAGAAAATTTCATACCATGCTTAAATTTATACTTATAACAAAAGATTAAGGAGAGTATTACCATAACCGTTTACTATTTCAGCACTTATTGAGCTTAGGGTTTTCTCCCACTCCAATCAAGCATCTTGTCTTTTGTTGACACGTGATTTATCTTGTCTTGATTCATCTTGTCATCTTGTCTCCTGTTGACACTGCAGAAGAGGACACATGAGTGTCACAAGGGGAGACAGAATGTTGTGCAGGATCTGTTTTTATGGGACATGGCCCTCAGTTCTGTGTGCCAGAAATTCCATGATTCTCAGGGAAACCAAACTTATTAAGGCCTGCAGAGATAATTCAAGTACCGTGTCTTGAATTTTTCCATGAAATCCTTTGTGAGATGCACTGTGCTCCCAGTGTTTATGATAAAAGGTACAGAACACCTTGATCAGTGTTGGAGCCAATGTAGTTGGAACTAAAGGAGAAGAAAATCCAGAGGAAACACCTCTGCTCCCAAGAGTCTGTCCCTGGTGACTAGGATGGGGAACACCTGTAATACACCTGGACCCAAGGGCTCATGTGTACTTTTGCCTGGGGTAATATTGTGGTTTTGCTGTTTTTTTTTTTTTTTTTTACTTTTTTCTGATTTGGATAGATGCTATCCCCATTTTGTCATACATTTTATCCTCTAATTTTTACAATTAAGTTGCTAATCTTCATGAGACCAGCTATATAATACATAGAACACCTAGTAAAAACTGAAAATGTAAAACAATTTCTTTATACATTGTTAAGCATTTAAATATGGAGACATTAGTAACCTAGAATGAGTTTGGATGAGAAATTACCATAGCCCATTCCCAAACTTATAGTCCTGAAACACGATGTACATAGACCCAACCTTTGCTTGGAGCCAAGGGCAACATGGTTCACCAGACTAGGATGGGAAATGGGAGGCTTCCTAGGGACAGGTTACTGAGGAAGGTGGAGGATGCCCATCCCAGTGAAACAGTAAGAGATGTAAAAGTGCCTAAGGCCTGTCTCCAAAACTTGGTACATGCCCTATCATTCTTTCAGACTTCACTCATAAAGCAGAAATTCAAGTTCAATTCAATAATAATCTCTTTTTCCCAGCTCCATTTGTTGAAGAGATTATCTTTTCTCCAGGGATTGATTCTAACTCTTTGTCAAAGATTACTTGATTAATAATGTCTGGGAATTCCATTCTGTTACATTTATCTACATGTCTTATTTCTGTGCCAGTACCAGGATATTTGGATTATGAATGCCTGTAGGATGTCTTGGATTCTGGTATTTTGATGCATCCAACTTTGTTTTTTTGTTGTTGTTGTTTATTTGTTTAAGATTTCTTTAGTGATTCAGGGGTCTTGTATTTTAATATGAATTTTAGCATTGTTTTTTTCTAGGTCTGAAAAGAATGTCATTGGTATTTTAATTCAGATCACATTGAATCTGTAAATTGTTTTTGGTAGTATGAGCATTTTGATGATATTTATTCTTCTAATCCAAGAACATGGAAGAATTTTCCAATTGTTTTGCATCTTATTCTATTTCTTTAATATTTTATAATTCTCATCATGAAGATCTTTTACCTCCTTAGTAAAATTTACTCTAAGCTTTTTTTTGTATCTATTGTGAATGGAACTGATCTTATAAATTCTCTCTTAACCTGATATTTTGACATATGAAGGAACTTTTAAAAATTCACAGAAAAAATTACATTGTCACTTAATCCAAGTTTTCTACAAAAATTTTGAAGTTCCCTCAGACATATCATTATTAAATGATTAAGAGCACCAAGCTAACATAACATATACATCACATTACATAGTTAATTTTTAAAGAATATTTAAAATATTAGGAAATTGCAAGCACAAAATTACTACTGACTATAGTTACTATGCTGTGTAGTAGATCTCCAGACTTTAATTTATTTTAACTGAAAATTTGTAGTTTGACAACATCTTATTTCATTCACTCTCAGCATCTGGCAACCACTCTTCTGTTTTCTGCTTTAGTTTATATTTCTTAGATTCCACAAATAAATGAGATTATGTGATATTTATATTTCTGTGTCTTACATTACATGATCTCATGTCATCCATGTTCATAATTTTAGATCCATGTTCTGACAAGGATTTCCCTCCTTTTTAAGATTGAATTGGGTTACCTTGTATGTATCACACTTTATTCATCTGTGCACAGATACAAGGGTCATTTCCTTATCTTGCCAATGTAATAATGCTGAGATGAATATGGGGTTGCAGTATGTCATTGAGATAGTGATTTTGTTTCCTTTGGATACATACACAGTCTTTCGATTTTAATTTTGCTCAAGGAACTGCCATCCCGTTTTCCATAACATATGTACAAATTTACATTCCCACCAACAATTTTGTGTTCCATTTCTCTACCTCCCATCCTTTCACTCTCAGTTTGTGTGTATCTTTCTTGGTGGGGCGTATTTTTTGCAGGCAGCAAATTTTTGGTCTTATTTTTTAATCCATTCAGTCTGTATGCTTTGTTTGGAGAGTTTAGGCTATTTGCATTCAAGGTTACTATTGATAAGTAATGTCCTGGCCCTGCCAATTTTCTATAAATATTCATATGTTTGCTTTGGATTTCTTTAGTACTTTTACAGGCAGAGTTTTTGCTTTCACATTCTTTCGTAATGATGACTGTCTTTCTGTGTGTAGCCCATTCTTTAGCATCATTTGTAAGGCTGGACAAGTGGTGTGGTGATAAATTATTATTATTATTTTTTTTTTGACAGGCAGAGTGGACAGTGAGAGAGAGAGAGACAGAGAGAAAGGTCTTCCTTTGCCGTTGGTTCACCCTCCAATGGCCGCTGTGGCCGGTGCGCTGCGGCCGGCGCACCGCGCTGATCTGAAGGCAGGAGCCAGGTACTTATCCTGGTCTCCCATGGGGTGCAGGGCCCAAGCACTTGGGCCATCCTCCACTGCCTTCCCGGGCCACAGCAGAGAGCTTGCCTGGAAGAGGGGCAACCGGGACAGAATCTGGTGCCCCGACCGGGACTAGAACCTGGTGTGCCGGCACCGCAAGGCGGAGGATTAGCCTAGTGAGCCGCGACGCCGGCCCAATAAATTCTTTCAGTTTCACT